TGTCTTTCTAAGATACAGTACTACGCAAAACTCGATCAGCAAACCAGCACTGCTCATTTTGTTGCTTATTTTTTCTCCCCCTTCTCCTTCATCCTCTCCTCCCCTCTCCCTCCCCCTCCCCCTTCTCGCCTTGCTCTTTCCTTCTCTTTCTCTTTCTTTGGATTGAACATGAGTTCAATAGCTTTGTGCATGCTAATCAAGTGCTCTGCCTCTGAGGTGTATCCACAGTCCCCAACTTTTTAAAATTTTTATTTTCTTTTTATTTTGTCTCACTACATTGCCCAGGTTGGCTTCAAACTTGTGACCCTCCTCTCTCTGCTGAGTAGCTGTGATTGTAGGTATATACTATTACCTCTGGCTCTGTTATAGGTCTTCATGTAGCACAGATATTGAAAATAAGCAGTTTGGATAGGTCACTTTAATTTGATGTAATAATTGTATTCTATTGAATCTCAAAGTAAGAAATTGCTGGTTTTTATTTCATGTCTTTGTCGTGTGTGTGTGTGTGTGTGTGTGTGTGTATGTGTGTTACTTAAATTTATGATCTTAGCCTCCCAGAGTGTTGGAATTATAGGCATGTTCCACCATGCCTAGCTGTCCTCTTTAATTTCATTATTTTTTTTTTTTGGTTTTTCTCCGGTACTGGGAGCCGAACTCATGACCTTGTGCTTGCCCGGCAGGCGCTTTTTGCCGCTGAGCTAAATCCCCAGCCCCTTCATTTTTGATTAATTAATTTTTTATCTTACCTTGCTCATTTTTCCATGACAAATTGCGGGAAACTGGGCCCTCAGCACAGATGGTATAGGAAACACTATTCTAGAATATTGTACAGTAACTGATGAAGTAAATAGAAGCCACCTTTGTATGCATTATTTTTCTCACCTGGAACACACATTTAGTAATAACCTTTGATTTATAGGGCTAGATATAAGAATTAAGGAAAGGTTGATGAATGTGAAGCAGGTTTTTGCCTTTGGGAAGTCGCCTGCTCAGCATTAGTTCCTAGTACTATTGAATCAAAAAGACTTGAGATGCTATTCGGAATTACATGCACACAGGACACAGTTTCTGTCTGTGATGGTCCCTCAGTGCATGGTCCATCAACATGCAACCTTCCTCTGGAATCAGGCCACCGGGTCTCACGCTAAGAGCTCATTTAGCACTGACTTGTGTGGAGGGACCCACATTTGATTTTTGGTCTTCCTTGACCTTTCAGTGCAATTACTTCAGCATTATAGCATGGATCTCTTTCAGTATGTTTCCTTTGTTTTCCTAAAGTCATTAAATTTCTGCAGGCCTCAACAACTAAAGTATTCTGGCCTCTATTATTACGAGAAGCTTTTATTATTTTTGGGAACAGGGTAGAATGACCCGTCACACAAGCATGGTAAGTATAGACTGAAACTTTGCTTTGAAAAGAGCTGTCACTTAAAGTGCTGTTTTATAGCACAAATAGAAAAACATGCAATCTCTTCTAGTCAAGGTGGTGGAACAATTTTTTAATAGTGTATTTTGGTTAAATATCAAAATTCAAGATCACTACCCTTTCAAAGGCATCTTGGTGGCCAGAGAAAGTAGGTGGCCATTCTCAAGAATAAATGCTTACTTTGTGCATAATTCAACCAAAGAGTTCTCAATTCATTTTTAAATTACAGCAAAGTACAATAGAGAACATAAGCTTTATAACTGGACTAATATGGGTTTAAATCATGGTTTTGCATTTACTAGCTAGACCCTTCAGGTAACCCTTCTTGTAGTTGAGCCTCAGTTTTCTAATCTATAAACCAGGCCTATGAGATCTACTTCTACTACACAGGGTAATTATGATGATTAAATGAGATAACATATAATTAGTTTGCCTATAATAGGTGGCCAAATACTGTTAACTCCCTTTTTCTTTATACAGTTTGTACACCTTAGTAACTTCTTTAAAATGATCAATAACTTTAACAGAGACTCCTTGAATAGAATCAGACTTTACAATAGAATAAAAATAATCCTTCAGTATTTATGTTTTCTTTATTTTTTCTTTTCTTTCTTTCTTTCTTCTTTTTTTTTTTTTTTTTTTTT